TAGTGTGTATACTGAAATGTCTCAGTTTGTTTAAAATGAGTACGCACATCAAGGATTGCGTCCTTTTCGAATCGTTCGCCTTTATAATTATAAATGTAGGTGTCCAGGAATGTTGTTTCCTTATCGGAAATTTCAGCCGTAACGATTGTTTGTGACGATTGTTTGCTTTTTCAATGAAACGTTCTATTGTTGCTTTGTTTGTACTCCGTAGCGAGAAGATTTCGTCTATGAAACGCTTCCCAACAAGCGGTTTGAAAAGGTTTTTGTCAAGGATTTCGGTGTACAGCACAAATATAAGTATTGTAGTTAACACTATCAACTGAGAAATTCTTTCTAGAACACGCATTTACCCCGCGTTGACAAAGTTCCAAGTCAAGCATGCTTCGGCTTTTTGAACGGTATGAAGGCTTTCCGACCGTTTTTACGCATTTCTTTAGGCGGATTAAGCGAATCTGGCAATCTTTCTGGATATCTTGAGTCATTCTTACATGTACCCCAACAGCAATGCCTAGCTGCAACCATTTTAAAAAGTTAGAGCATTTTTGAGCGAAAATAGTCTTGCTTCTGACACGTTTCGCATACAAGTCCTTGTAAAGACGCCGAGTGTTTGTCCTAAACCAGCGGGGGGTCCAAAGATGACATATCTATTTTTAGACCTGGCGTGCAGCGCTATTGCATTCGAAATCCTGAGATTACCCACAAACAACAGCTTTTGAATCTCTTTTTCGGTATGCAACTCGCCTTATGAAACAGTTGATAATTAGTAATTATCAAAAGCAAAACCCCAACGACACAGAATCATGATTTCTTTAGAAACTAGCCCCCTCTACACACAATTAAGACTGAGCCACCTAGCCGGATCGAACACTGATATTTCAGATATTTGTCGACGAGTTCTGTACTGTAACTAAACGCTTTCAACTGTAATGGTTCAAGTTTCCTTTTAATTTCTCATGGCGAAGTTCTTCTATCGCAGGAAAATGTTTGGAAATACTAATGATAATAAAAATACTAGGTAGAAAAAGAACGAAGTCTAGCTCAAATCTTTTCAACCAAACTTCTGTCTCCTGATGACAATTACGGTCAAAATTCAAAATCCTCCGCCGGTCACATCGAGAGAAACTCTAATTAGAATACATGCGTAGTTGTGTCCCGATATCATTAGAATCTTAGCTCTAGCGTTATATTCCACTTTCTGTGACGACTGAATTGTCTGATATTTGTAATTAATTTTTGTTTGCAGCGAAGATGGATTGCTTCGTCCGATGTATCGATCGGGATTGC